GATTATTTCTCAATTTCTTTTTTTTTTCTTTATTTCAGCATATTATTGGGGCACAAATGTTTAGGTTACATGTGTTGCCAGTTTCCCCTTCCCCCCTGGAGTCATCTCAATTTATTTTTGGTGGACATTTGCCAGAAGGTTGAAGGTGAAGAATATCCTAGAATGTTTGGAAAGACACCTTGCTTTGGCCCCAGGAATAAACCAGAGACCTCTAATGGAAGGAGGAGTCTAGAGCAGGTGAGGTCAAAGCAATGATGCTTTATTACCTACAGTTTTTGAAGCTGTGATAGAGTGAGTGCCGTGGCGTCAGCCTAGCTCACAGCAACCTCAATCTCCTGGGCTCAGGCAATCCTCCTGCCTCAGCCTCCCAAGTAGCTGGGACTACAGGCATGCGCCACCATGCCCAGCTAATTTTTTCTATATGTATTAGTCAGCCAATCAATTTCTTTCTAGTTATAGTAGAGATGGGGTCTTGCTCTTGCTCAGGCTGGTTTCGAACTCCTGACCTCGAGCAATCCACCCGCCTCGGCCTCCCAGAGTGCTAGGATTACAGGCGTGAGCCACCGCGCTCGGCCGAACCTGCGTCCCTTTAGTTCAGTGCTTAGTTCTTCAACATACATGTATTGATGCCTACTGCGTGTGCCGTGCTGGAGAGTCAGTCAGCAGTGAGAGAGACCGAGTCCCTGTCCCTGTGTGGCCCATATGTCTGCAGGGGAGACGGAAACTTATTCGGAAAGATGAACAAAGAGTGTTACGGGCTAAATTGTGTATCCCCAAAGTTGAGGTGCTGAAGTCCTGACCTCAGTACCCCAAATGTGGTTGGATTTGGAAACAGGGCCCTTAAAGAAATGGTTAAATTAAAATGCAGCCATTGGGTTGGGCCCTAATCCAATATGACTGGTGTCCTGATAAGAAGGGAGATAAGGACACAGGGACACACCGGGGATGTGCTCACATAGAGGAAGGGCCTCTCGGGGTCCCAGCCAGAAGGAAGCCATCTGCAGGCCAGGACAGAGGCCTCAGGAGAAACCCACCCCGCTGGTACTTCGGGTTTGGACTTCCAGCCTCCAGAACTGAAAAGAAGAAATTTTCTGTTGCTTAAGCCCCTCCGTCTGAGGTATTTTGTTACGGCAGCCCTAGCAAACTGATACAAAGAATCATTGTATTATGAATTTATTAGCAAATAAATTTTAAGATATGAGTCAGGTGGTTACCAGCAGGGCAAAGGGGTAAGAAATGCAGTGAGGGCTGTTTAGACAGGGTGATGGCCTGAGACAGGGCAAGGCCTCTCAGAGGGGCGACATGGCGGCAGACCTCTAAATGTCGTGAGGCAGCAAGCCACTAAAGGTGTGGGGAAGACATCCTGGTGACCAACAGGTGCCACAGCCCGAGGTGTTCAGGTGACAGCGCTGGACTTGGGGGCAATTCTTCTCACTTCTTCCTGGAGGAATGCCGATCTCCCCCACCCCAGCCGTGCAAACAACTCAATTCTAGCTCCTTCTCCAAGATATAGCTCCGATACTGCTTATGGTATTCCAGTCCGACCACTGTAGCCAAGATCGAACTCTCCATCTTTGGACTTTCTAAGCCTTCTTAAAAATACAGGCAGACCTTGGAGACATTTCAGATTCCGTTCCAGACTACATCAAAAATAGCGAATATCACAATAAAGTGAGCCACGCAAATGCTGTGGTTTCGCAGTGCATATAAAAATTATGTTTATATATACTATAGTTTACTAAGTGTGCAACAGTATTATGTCTTAAAAAAAGACATACCTTAATTTAAAAATACAAGGGGTCCCCAGGTTACAGATATGTTCCCGAGAATGTCTTTAGGTTGGATTTGTATGTCACTCAGATCCCTGATGAACAGCACATATATGAGAATAATAACAACAATACTCTAATGGCTCATGGGTGGTAATAACACGGTGTAATGCTGCCATAACACTCATACCCTGTCCTGTAATAGTAAGTTACAGAAATTATTGTGCCCTTTCTTTTAATTCGAACAAACAGAACATACTCATACAAAATAAAATAAAAACAAACTCGTACAAAAAATTTAGATAGGAGAAATTTCAAAAAAAGCACATTAAAGGTTAACACTCATCTAATGTTGCATTAACACTAGGCTAATAGGAATGTGACGCTTATTTTGATCTTCTAACTGAAATCGGGACTATCCTTCCATTTCAATATTTAACCCACCACGCTGCGTAGCAGTATCAGCCGATGCTCTCGAGGGAGCCCTGCCCTTCTCACGTTCCATTTTTCTCTCTGTGTCCTTTTTAATTGTCCCCATAGCCGAGTGACTCAAGCCTGATGCTTTCCCAGTGGATGACGGCGTCCGGCCTTTCTCTGAACGCTCAATTATTTCTGGTCTCGTTTCCGCTGTAACCCCCTCTCTCTTCGCTGCAGGCTCGCCTGGACCTGGGCTTTGGAGGCACGGTGGGAAGGGTAAGCACAGACTCACAAAATCAAACGGGGAAGTTGAAAGGGAGGCTGCGCATGCCACCGTTGTTTACAACGACACCAGCCGGGACGTAGAGACGCTGCACCCACACGCCGCCCATGCTGGGCAGGTTTGTTTCCATGTGCGGGAGAAACGAGTTCCCGGGTTATTCATTTAATTATTTAATTATAAAGCACCCCCAGGGGGGAGCCCGTCGGTAAGTACAGATCGCCCCCAGTCCGGTCCTGCGTGACCCGGGGGCTGCTGTCCTTTGTTGCTATAAAATGCCGACCATCATCTGAGCCTTCAGCAGGTCGCAGGCTTTTTGCCAGTGGAGGATGCACACTGAGAACCGTTGTCTGCAGCTTGAAAGGACCGAGAGCACTGGTTTTTCCAGTAAGTCACTTTGGGGAGAGCTTGTCCTGCGCTGGGCTGGAGCTGGTGGCTGCATCCACCAGAGAAAGATGGGAGGAAGAAGGGCTGAGTTACCTGAACTTGGTCCTGATATTCCGCCCTCGTGCGATGCTGCCGCCGTCTGTCACCCACGCAAAGCCCAGAGGACGCCTGCTCTGTACTAGCAGTGGGTTTACGCCGGGCAGTGCCTGCCTTTTTTTTTTAACACATTAGTCAAGAATATTTATACTTGCATGTAGGTACTTGAAAGCTTATTTAGGTAATGTGAAAATCAAGGGGGAACATTACTAAAAAATCAAAAAACAAAAAGAACAACCATAATGTTCAGTTAAAAAGAAATTCCCTTGTACTAATTCATTGTGTTCTTAAATATGGCCAGCGTGGCAGTCCCTGCTCCCTCCTCGCTTCTCTTTTAGCTACCCCTTCCCCCCAAAATCACAATTAATAAAAATTATATTGATTTTTTTTAACTCTAATTTTTTGCAAAGTAACATCTAGCACAATGTTGGATACACGATTTCATCTTTTTTGTGAAGGCTTTGTTTTTTAAAAGCAATGGTGTTCTCATCACCCTGGTTGGTTACCACAAACTCCACAAACACCCGTCTAAACATTCTTACCATTTTAGGCAGAATATCAGTCCCTGAAAACTTAATTTTAAATCTCCTGCACATAAATATTTTAATTTATGGGAACAAAGTTACACCCAAATGCCATATCCCAACTTAATAAAATCTCCTCTTTGAAGATACTGTACTCTCCCATTTATTGCATGTTGTATGTATCTGTAACTTCTGGCCAACAACAACAAAATGCTTATGCATGAGGACTCTTCATCACATTTCATTGTTGTGTTGAAGGGTAAATTACTATCCTTGGAGGGATGGCAGACCTATGGTAGGTGCAAGAGAAATAGCTTGGGCGATGCAGTAAGACTGGGTTTTCTGGTTTGTTCATACTCCTTACACACTCCCAGTTTGCGTGCAAATATTTGTTAATATTTATACGATCACCTCAGAAATGTTGGCCAGTTCCAGAGGACTCGTCATCTGATTGTCATTTATACCCCCCACCCCTGGCCACTAATCTGATGGTACCCGAAAAAGAACCCTAAAGACTATGAGCTACAACTGAGCTTTAGCTCACATCACCTGGAAACTTAAAACCACAGAAACACTGGTTCTAGTCCAACCTCCGCTTTCCAGTGTCTGGGGCTGGTGGCCCGGAATCTGGGTTGGGTTTTCCAAAGCTTCCCCACCCCCAGAGGATTCCGATTCAGGGAAGCGCTTAGACAGGAAGACCTTGTAAAACAGTGCCAGTCCTTTGGGGGCAACTTCCATGCCCACGGCGTTAGAGCCAGTTTCTCTGCTTCACATGTGAACTGCTGACGGCCCAGCTGGGGGTTCCTTGACACTGACAGGCAGTGCTGAGGATGAACCCAGACACCCAAAGGCACAGGGAAGGGACCTCGTGGGAGAGTCCTTTTAGGACCCCCTCCCTCCCTCACATTTGTCCCTTTCCACCTTGGGTGATTTAAGGGGGCAGCTGGAGAAACGGACACCAGGCAGAGATCGCAAATGCCAGCACTGGTCACGAACACAAAGAGTCCACAAAACCCCATTGTTTCCAAGCTGGGGCTGGGGTCCTCACTCCTTTTCTACGCACCAGCCTCAGTTCTCCCCCTGAAGATTCCTTTGCCCCTTGGGCACAGAAAACTGCACTTGTGTAAGCTGGCTCGGGACAGGGGGAGGGGACACCCACATGCCAGGCCCCCTCCCTGGGATTGAAGCACCCCGAGCTTCTCCTCCTCTTTCATTCTCTCCCCAAGCAGAGAGCAAAAGACCGCCCTGGCTGCAGTGGAAGGTGCGGGCGGCGGTGCGAGGAAACCCTAACCACGGAGGAAACGCCAACCCCCAGGGAAACGCGTGATTCTCGGACTCTCCGATTACATCGAAAACGTCTGTAAGTTACGGAAGTTGCCCATTTGCTTCTGACCTTTCATGTTGCGTCAGTGGATTCCCGCCACAAAAAAGAAAAAGAAAAAGAAAATCCTCAAATTGTAGTTTTCAAACTTAGTACAGTCACAGCAGTTCTACATTCTAACGTTTTCGCTTGCAGAGATTCGGATGATGGATTTTCGAAAAGGAAAGAGGGCTTTAGAAGAAAGCTCCACCTGCGAGCTGATGTTTGGAGTTTTGTCTTTGCACACAGAAGGTGGCAGCTGCAGGTGAGGGGCAGAGGACAGACTTTAGGGACTGCGCCCAGGTTTGAAAACACAAGCCTCAAATCAAGCCAAAAAAAAAAACAAAAAAAAACAAAGCTGACTTTCTGTGGTCACTGACAGGCTGGTTTTTTGTTTGTTTGCCTTTTTAGGGAAGGAAAGAAAAAAGAAAAAAGAAAGTCTCCATGCTTAACTCTAAGGGTATTCTGCAATCGGACATATAGGAATACTTATTCCACAATTGACATTTTTTTCTTCTCTTTTAGTCTCTGTGGAAAGGTTTTTATAAGACTTTGCTTCGGGGCAAACCAGTCAGAGCCAACTGCGCCCAGTGTGGTGAGGCCAGTTCCTCTCTGGTTTCCTGCCGGCCCTGCAGGGAGAGACCGCTGCGGCCCCTGCCCTGTCCCGCCACGCCGCTCCCCTCCCGTCAGAGAACCAGCCTGAAGTCCTTCATCTTCGCCATGTGTTTTCTGGTCAGGGGTAATGAGGTCTCTTTCCTGCCCCACCTGCCGTCTCTTTTGTTTGCCCAGGCTGCCCTCCTGGCAGGCAGCCCATGGCCGGGGGCCAGGACAGTGGCCGGTGCCACAGAGCTGGTGCAGGTGAGGAGTCGAAAGGGCTGTAATGTGGAGTCCGGAATGGGTGGGGACAGAGGACTTACCAGAAGGTGGAAGTTCACGCTGCCAGCCTTAGAGTAAAGCTCACACGAAGCTTAGGCTCTCCCCCTTCTTTGTTCAGCGTCTGTTCAGGCGTGCCCCTCAGTTGCTGGCTGGAATTGAACTCTCTTGTGCCCTAAACTCCCAGAAATGTGCGCCAGTGAGAGACACCCTGACCTCCAAATGGGTCAGGGAGGCAATGACCTCATTTAAATGTCCTCTGTAGTTCTTCCCCACAGGGCCGAAGAGACGATGTGGGAAGGTTGAAAAGAAACAGGGCAAGGGTCTCAGTTATATGAGACAGACACAGGGTGTGGTCACGGGACCTCACCTCCCTAAAGGGTCAAGGGTCTGATTTCTCTGAGCTTTGCTTTATATTATGTGGCACCAACTTAAATATCGAGATTATGTGTTTGGCTGTTGTTTATTTATTTTTGAGATGACTGAATGGAGAAGTGTGTGATTTGAGGCCATTCCAATGCTCACTGAGAAGTCGAGCGTTGAGAGCACAGACTTGCCAACTTTAAGGACAGCATCTGGCAGGAGACAGAGGGTTTCTGAAGCCTCGTGACCTCAACCCTGCAGGAGAGAAGCCAGTCCTACACCCTCACTGTCCTAATCTTTGGCCTTAAATTTATGACAATTCCTTTAGATTTAGCAGCAGTATCTGAGCTATCAAGAGTCAAGAAAGGCTTCAAAATGTAAAACACAGGACTTGTTTATAGTAAACAAGTAACTAAAGTATAGTAAACAAGTAAATAAATAACATTCATTGAATGGTTATTATGCATCATGCACGAGCTTCAGACTTTACATAAGTTAATTCCCAACAATCCCATATAGGTACTGCTGTTATCCCTGTTTTGCAGAGTTAGGAACTGAGGCAGTAAAAAGGTTAAGTGACTTGGCCAAGTTCATCTAGCTACTAAATGATAGAGTCAGGCTTTGAAACCCAGGTGCTCAGGATCCAAAGCCTCCCTCTTAATCATGGCATTATTGCTATTTATATGAGAACATGGCTATATCCACAACAGAATTATTGTATCTTATCGTATGTAATATTAGCAGATCCCACATTATTGAATGCTTGCTACGTCCCAGGCAAGCTTTGAATCCTTTACCTACTCTACTTTATTCGACCTTGTTCACACCCAACAAGAGAGGTACGATGGTGATTCCGGTTTTCCAGATGAGACCTGGGCATCTCAGCGAGGCTGAATGACTTGCCCACGGTTGCAGAGTGAGTTGGTGCTGAAAGCAGCGTGTACTCCCAGAGTATACAGTAGGTCCCAGGGCCTCGTTATGAGGCTAATCTCATGTGGATTAACCAAGGCCTCCGTGCTCAGAACCGTGTTATGAACTGATATGCATTTCTGCGACAGTCATCCTGCAGTGCATAAATTAAATTTCTTGTCTTAGGCCTCAGGAATCCAAATGGCCTGTATGAAGATCAAACTAACCACTTTGGCCCAGGCAACTCCGTGCATAACTCATTGTCCAACATGGCTCTTAACATATGGAATTGCATGAATATATGGATTATTCACGAACTTTCTAGTTGTCCTTCCTTGCTGAAGACATTAACTGAAATGCATCTGCCTCTAATTTATACTTTTCCAGCCAATCTGGATTGACATCTTATTTAGATTACTAGGCTATATCCTGCTCCCTAAAGAAAGGGACAGTTCTTGTTTGACGCAGCTTCAGTTGTTGCAATTTCAGTTTCTTTGTCTGTAAAACAAGATTCATTCTAGAGCCCTGTGCTCTAGCATTCCGTGCCTTCACAGCTATGTGTCTGGAAATTCTCTGCAGGGATTCCTTCTGGACAGAACAGAACCATGGGACAATTTCGTGGTGCTGTGAATTCTTGGTCTGCCTCTTGGTTTGTTGAGGCAGCACATACAGTTGCCATTGCTGCTGAAGATACTACAGTATCAGTGATTTCAAGCCACCACCGTTTTATTATGCTCATGGAATTTGTGAGCCAGGAATCTGGAGAAGGTATAGTAGGGATCTCTCTTTGTTCCGAAATAGATGAGGCCTCAGCTAAGAAGATTCAAAGGCCGGGGCGACTTGACAGCCAGGGGCTAAGGTGTGTCTTAGTCCCTTCAGGCTGCTTTTAACAAAAACGCCTTAGACTGGGCAATTTACAAACAACAGAAGTTTATTGCTCATAGTTCTAAAGTCTGGAAAGTCCAAGATCAAGGCACCCGTGTCACCAGATTTAGTGTCTGGTGAGGGCTCACTCTCTGCTTCAAAGACGGTGCCTTGCTGCTGTATCCTCTTAGGGCAGAAGGGGCAAAAGAGCTCGCTCCAGCCTCTTTTATAAGGAAACAATCCCATTCACAAGGGTCCCACCCTATATAACCTAGTCACTCCTTAATCCCATCACCTTGGGGGTTAGGTCTCAACATATGAATTGGGGGCAGATACAAATATTCAGAGCACAGCAAGCTGCATTCGCTCTATGTCTGGCGCATGGCATGGCCTGGGGGACCTGCCAGCTGGAGTGCTTACCTGGGCCTCTCTGGGGAACACAGCCTCCTCCCAGCACAGAATCTGCGGGGTGGTCACACTTCTCACAGGGTGGCTCAGCAATCCAAGGGTGAGCAATCCAGAGAACCAGGTGGACACGCGTCGCCTTTTATGACAGCCTTGGAAGTCACATGGCATTACTTCCTCAATAGTGTGTATATTTTCCACACACTTAGCAGCCCACCCAGATTCAAAAAGAGGGATTAGACCATACTTCCTGGTGGGAGGGTGGCAAGATGTCATCATACAATGGCACTGGGACGGGAGACAGCGTTGTGGCCACCATTGGAAATCTGCCGCGAGCGCAAGAGAATAAATGAGAAATCACAGGGTCCCCTTGCCTGCTAAGAAAACCAATGGCCTCAATACTGAAAAAGGAAAAACAAAAATAATTCATTAAAGTCTTCCAAGGAAAGCCAACTTTCCTGTGTTCCCGCCTTGCATGGTTCTTTGCGAAAGCTCATAGGATACATAGAGTAAGAGTCAAAGAAATACAGCTGATGAAGCCCTAAAATAAACACTACAAGCCATTGCGGATGGAGTATTAGCAGGCGAGAGCTCTGGAGATGACTTGGAACATCAATTTATGAGAATGAACAGGGAATTAGCAAACACTGCAGGGTTAGAATGACAAAAGGGACGATCTGAATAGGCCCCAGATATGGGCATGTCCTGGTAATGGTAAGCAGTAACTATTACTTAATACAAGAATAACACTCTATTAAATATGTATGCTTAAGTTATATTTTTTAGAATAGGTAGATTTTTTTGTTGTTGCCTGCCTGTGAGTCCTCCCCCTTCCTTCTAGTAGCAGGCTGATCCATCTACCTGAGAACCGTTGATCCCCTACCTGGTGGGGCTGTTAAATGCAGGGTCCACCCCCCTCTCCTCTGGGCTCATGACCCAGGTTGGCTTCATGCAATGACATACACAATGAGTGGCACAGGCTGTGCGTGCTTGTATGCGTGCGTGCATGTGCTTGCGTGCATGTGCGCGTGTGCATGCGTGTGTGCATGCGTGTGGGCGCACGTGTGTGTGTGTGGTGTTTGGGATTATCATGCCTGCTGAGAGACAGAATTTTCTTTTTTTTGAGATTGTGTGCGTTAAGGATCACATGTACTTGACATGTCAAGAGACAGAGAATACTGACATGACATTTTCTGAACTATTGGGAAACAGTTATGTTTGAAGCCAGAGCTCATTGTGTCAATGAATTCCCTTTTTAACCTATGCTAGTTCCAACTGGGACTCTGTCCCTTGTAATCACATGGTCCTGACTTACACATTAGTATAATGTGTATCAACACCCCCCACTGTGGATCTCACCACTCTCACTCAAATCCTTTGCCCTCATGCGGTGCCCTGGGTGGAAGAGCTCCTCTCGGTGCAGTCGGAGGTGGTGATCAAGATGGGGGAGTCCCTAAGTCCTAACACCCGCAGGATTCCGGGGTTCTGCCTGGGCAGAGAGGCAAGCGGCAACGCTCTCTGCTGGCTCACGCAACTTGAGAATATGTAATATATGCTCTTGACCTTCGGGCCTGAACTGATAGCATCACAATGCCCCTTGCATTACTAGCAGGCCTTTGGTGGGCTGTGATCATAGAGAAAGGGTTGCAAGGAAAAAAAGACTTGAGAATATTGAGTTCCTTAAAAATGGAAACTTTGTTTTTCTCTGGTGCCAATTCATGCACTTCCATTCACAGCTATAATTTTTAAGATGTCTAAAATTTTATGCACTGAGATCTCAGGCTCCCCGTGAGCTGGAAGTTCCAGGGCCACTGCCTTGACCAAGACCTCTCCTTGCGTCCCTGCCAACTTGTAAAGAGGTCGCTTTTAACAAAAACTCCTTTTTCTTGCCTTTTCTTCCCTCTGCATCATTAAGACTCACTGTATTTGCAGAGACTTGTGATTGAGGGAGGCACGTGTATTTGGGTTCTTATACTTATTTGTTGGCTCATTTTAATGGAATAAGATAATCGATTTATTCTTAAGGTCAGGGACACAACCCACATTTATGGCTTCTCAGGGCCTATTAATTATCTATTATATTTTTCCAAAATACAAACTTGTTTGAAATTTACATATATACTATGGTAATATATATGTAAAGATATATATATATATATAATAACAGTACATATGTTCTTTAAAACCACATGGCTTTTAAAAAGCTTATGGCAACAACAAAACCCCTGAGCTTCTTGCTGTAAAATTTCAACTGTTTTACATAATTCTTATGGCATTTCTTTTCATATTTCTAAGTAATATGCTCTTTCTATTCTTTAGCACTTTAGACATTGTCTTTTGACTTCCTGTTACAATAGATGAAAATGTGTCTCTGTTGCTCTTTCCTTCCCAGGGCATTTTTATCTCCTCCTATCCTAGCAATATAGCATGTCACAGTTTTTTAA